ATAAGGTATTTACTTCAGGTGCTGCAATTCAGTCCAAACAATGGGTTACGATTTGGTTGGGTAAGAGCCTCTAATGTTTCTTTTATCATCTTCAATCCATTTTGCAGCCTGTTTTTTTTTTCCTATCATTGTTTCACATTGTTCGTTCATCGCGAAGCAACGCGAGCGGGTCTACCTAGTATAACATAAAAGCAGAAGCTCCGATTTGGAGCTTCTGCAAAAAGCTGTTTTGAAAATACATGATTATCCTTACCATATTTTAATTTTATTTCAGAGAATATAATTTTCCTTCATTTATATCATTTTAAAAATAAAATAAATTATAAAATCATATAATTTAATATAAAAGAAATCTAACAAGATCCATTTTGACTACTTTTTATCGTTTAAAATTTTTATTCATATTTTATATTCTAAGTCCTTTATAGTCATTTTTACACAACCTCTCATATTAAAAAGCACTTCTAATAGTTTTACAGCCAAACACTCAACTGCTTTTGAAAAGTATTTATCTAAAAGCTCCAGCCAGAAACTGCTTTTGCATAAGCTATAGCAGCAACATCAAAATTTGCGACTTTCATGCTTAATGCACTTGATTGTTCGTGTTACGTTAACAGGATCTTCCTATTTCCTACGTATCTAATCATCTGAATTTCTACATATAGATTTTCGCTGGGAATCCGTCTTGCCATTCAAAGTTAACCAATATAAAGTTGCAGGAATAAAAATCGAAAAGTGAAATGTATATCAAGATCTTATTCAAAGTGACTAAAAATCTCATACATAATTTTAAACGTATAATATCATAATATAATGTGAACTTTGGTCCAAAATTTCGAATTAAATAATGATGTCTAAATTTTCAAAATGATTAAAAAACATAAGGTCGATTCTTGGGTTTAATTAGTAAAATTGATGATCGATTATTGGTCCTACGATTAGTGGCTAATCATTTTATTGCTTCGTCTAGGAGTATTTAGGGGTGGCTATACAGTCCGGTTAAATTGGATCAAATTGATCAGGTCCCAGTCCGGTCTTTTCGCGAATAGAAGGACCAAAGATTGGATTGGATACAGTCCGGTCTTGATTCGGTCCGATCCCAATTTGACCTTGATTTTAGGTGTTGGGGGTCTCTTATCCGGTCTTTATCCGGATTTTTTACCTCAAATCTAAGCCCGAATATGACATTGGATTGTTTGCTATCCGGTCCCAGTCCGGTCCCGGTCTGGGTTATATGGTTCAATTTTGGGTAAAACTAAACAGTCCGCGACCAAATAACCAGCCCTAGGCGTATTGGTGGATTCCCTCAGAGAGGCGGTGCTTTGGGATTGTCATCAGTTAGTTGATTTTGTCTGATTGTACAAAGTTTAGAGAGTTTTCTCGAACCGCAAACGGCGTTGTCCATAGAGTGACACGTAAAGTCATTTCATTATCTCTTTTACATATCATTTGGTATAAATGAATTTCATAAGTTTTTAGGAATTCATTTTAAAATGAAATCTTTTTGTGCTTGGTATTTGAAAGAATTCATTTTCAATTCTAAATTTTGAATTCTATGGTATTGGAACTAGTTATATCAATTCCGAGGAATTGAGATGGAATTTTCAAATGAATTCCACAATTATTTACTATTTTTAATAGAATGATATAATTATCTCCTTTTATTAACTAAATTACTTATACATATGACATACCAAACATAGAAATTCATTTGACAATGAAATCTACGCGGCAATTTTTTTTTATTTCTAAAGATTTGAATATGACATACCAAGGAGAAGAATTCATTTGAGAATGAATTCTACACGATAATTCATTTTACAATGAAATGAATTCTCTATTCATTTGGTACCAAACAGTCTGTTAAAGTTAGTTTCATTTCATTTCATGTGGTGATGATTTGGCCAAGGTGTTGCTTTGAGATTGAGAGGGTTCATGGGTAGTTCCTTCTGTATTAATACTTCTTTCTCTTTTATCATTACTTGGGGGAAAAATCATTTTATTTGAATGCAAGATCCCAAGCGGTCATTTGCATGAGTCATTTAACGCCAAATGACTTGTTTTCCAAGAAAAGCAAATCGAGTTATTTGTAAATGATTGACCCCCAAATGCCCAATTTAGTCATTTGCAAATGATTCATTTTTTCGTCACAACCTTTTAATGTCAACCTTCATTTTTTTTTTCATATACCCAATACTAACTATTTTCTCTACTTTATCTTCATAAACCCAATACTTTCAAATTATTTTTCATTAATAATTAAAATATAGTCGTCACTATTTTAAAAATCTATTTCAAATATTGATTATGTTTGGTTGTAAAGCAATATACTTGGTTACAATTTGTGATTATAGTTAAACATCAAATTATTTTTCAAAAATAAAAGTAGTATAGATATATATGGCTAACACCAAAATATTTTGTTACATGTTGATGCAAAATGAATTTTTGTTTTCATAGTTGACATTATTAAGATAGCAAACAAGAAAATGAAACATATCACTCTTAATGACAAAATAGTAATACATTATATAAATGACTCATGCATTTAATTTTTTTAACAAACAACATATTTGAAAACTATATTGTCAAATGTCTACCATTGATCAAAAGACTAGTTTGTAAATATATCAGGCAAACAAATACTCACTTTTTTTTATTCATAGATAGGTCGAAAGATAGACACGAATTACAAAGAGTCGGAAAGTAAATAGCGGTAGTCAACCAAATGTTAAAATACCGATCCAAGGATCGTTTTTACCACGCAATGAGCATCCCTATTAATACTACGATGAGCATAACAAAGTTAATGAAAGAAAACAAAAACTTCATTCGGCTGATTTCTTCAAGAAGAGCACCCCCATGCCATGATCATGTAAACAAATACTCACTTTTGGAAGAGTGAAAGTTTGGGCGTATTATGCCAAACTAAGAAAAAAGCATCAAAGAAAATAATTATTATCTTATATGTAAAAAGTTACTACGCTTTATTGCCAACACTGTTTCATTATTTATCGTGTTGTGGTTGAGGCACAATAGACCTTCTTCGGATTTGCCAAGTTTTGCTCTCTCGGTCGAAATCCGCTGCCGCATGTACCTCCTGCATCTAATCACTCTACGGCGATTCACAGAGACAGAGTTTGACGGTTCCGTGCGGCTACTCCCACATGCCACCACGGCGGCCACTCCCACACGCCACCACCGCAGCCATACTTTCTACATTCACCGTCCCCTCACGACTCATCCCAAAATTCCCAACTGCGGCGTCACCCAGCGGTGCCTTCCGTCCTTGCAGCAAGAGCCCATGCCTTCCCTTCGCGATCGTACCCCAGAATCCGCAATTGCATCCCGTTGTGTCCCTGTCCAAAAATCCGCAGCTGCATTCTTGTCCTTGGTCATGGGTCATGGCTGTACTTTCTCCAGACTTTCCGGATCTTTGTCGTTGCTGACACACGCCACCACCCATGGAACCTCTTCACAGATGGTCAGGCACTGCAACACCCATGAATCGGTCAGTTCTCGCCTTGCTCCACTCTATTAGGGGCCTACCATAACCTAAAGGACGATTTATCTCCTCTGGATCCTTTCCGATTGTTTTCCCACTCCCCTCTACAGACCCAGCTTTTCGACCACAGTTCTTTTCCATCATATTGCCTCTCTTCTACTTTCAGATTTACTGCTGAATCAGACTGAGCGAAGGTCTGCCTGTGACTAGGGTTGGTAATCGGTCGGTATCTGGTATACCGGATACCGATTATCCGGTATTCGGTATACCGGAACTAGACAGTGTACCCACCGAATACCGATACCGAATGTAACTGGTATACCGAATACCGAATAGTCGGTATCCGGTATTAATACCGGTATACCGAATACCGGTTAGATGCTACTATGCTGCTGCCTGCTGGTGAAGAGAAGAGAAGAGAAGAGGGAGGAAGACAGGGGCTCTGCCGTCTTCTCAATTACTTCAGTAGCTCGCCCTTGTCATTTCCAATTCTCGAGAATGGCGGTCATAGTGTTCAACCCTTCCTCCGGCGGACTGCTCCCCACTCCAACGCTGACATCGATGGTGTTCAAACCTTCCTGCGGCGGACTGCTCCCCACTCCACCGCCATCGAAGCGCCTCCCACTACCGCTACATCCCCAACTTCCTTGTAGTTACACCACTCCCATCTGCAACTGCGGCGGCGGCCATAACCGGAAATCATGCAGTCAGAAAAGCTCCAGCTAGGGAGCTCTCTCACATCGTTGGCTTCAAGAAGCGGCGGCCGGCGGCTGCTGCCTGTTGAAGAGAAGAGGAAGATGAGGTGTGGATCTCGGCTGCTGGGTCTCGCCTTTCGGGATGGAGAGAAGGGAAGAGGAGGCTGCTGGAGGCGACGGCGGGGAGCGCTGCTGGGGGCTGCTCAGAGGAAGACGAGAGGGAGGGAGGCTGCTGGGTCTCCAATTTTTTAGGGTTGCACCGCGTTTTACTTTTTTTTTTTTATAATCGGTATTATCGGTATACTGGTATACCGTCGGTAACTACCGACTCTTATCCTGTATTACCGAATGTAAAATCACACGCCCGAATATCGATACTGGTTTACCGATTACCACCCCTACCTGTGACCATAGACAAGGGATATCGTTGTAGGTGCCACTGTCTCTCCTCGATGCCTCCATGGCAACTCTTTTCCTCCCCTCTCTGAACCATATGGCCTTTGTTTGCAGGGTCGACCTGTGTTCAGAGGTAGATAATTGGCCTGAAACTCATAGCAGGAGACTGGACCACAGCCGACGGCTTTCTGGATCTCTCTTGCTCTCTCTAGATACAGTAGTGGCGAAACCAACGCCGACGTGATAAAATCGTCTAATGGTGAGCTCTTATTTCTGTGCGTCTTTGTTAATATTGTTAATTTCAATTTCTCAGTTTTAGACTCTCGCTGCAGAGCACGTCGGTGGCAATTAATATTCTAATGATGTGATTTATATCCCATGGGGTGGGACAACCGGTGGCGGTGATGGAGCAGCAGAAGGCCGATATGGGAGTTGGTGGAAGCACCAATGTTCAAGTTGGAAGAAGGAAGAAGCTCGACGGCAGCCGAGGAGGGGAAAAAGATCAAAAAGCAAAAATAAAAGCCACTGAGAGGTATGCAGCTTCTGTTTGTTTGAGGGCCAAATTTGGAAGGAACACGATTTTGTGATTTAACGTTCTGTTTCAGGGGACCTGTCAAGTTGGAGCATCGTTGTCGGAAGAGAGTTAACAGAACTGCGATTGAAGCCAAGCCCAACTGGAGTTTCGAGTCTCTATTGTCGGAGGTCGATTCGTTCGAGGAGAAGCTTAGTTGGATGCCCAATTTCTCGGTACCTTACTAAAAATCAATCTAAGTGCTGAATCCTATTTCCACGTAGTTCAAAATAAATAATACAAAGCTCGATTCCTGTGATTTGGATTGGTTTTCGTCGTTAACTTTGAGAGATTTTTTGTGTTATTTTCCTACAGGATATCCGGATCAAAATCAACCAAATGATGTTTCTCTGCTTTCAGATTCCTGCAAGTTACTGTAGCCAGCAAATGACGGAGGAAATGGCCTTCTTGGCTTACAATCGGGCTCTTAAGCTTATTTTATGGTAATAATAATTCTTCACCATTCTAAATTTTATTAATTTAACTGCTTTGCTGCTGCTACAATACCATATCAGAAAAGTTGTTTGCATATATGGAGTATGGAGGTAGTCTATTTATGTTAACCAAATTGTTCCTTTCAAATTCAGCTAAAGTTTTGCCATGTACATGTTCTTCCTGCAAATTGTTTATGTTTCCCTCTGTGCTCTGCGTGCTTAAGTTGAAATTTGTACATATATATGTTTTCTGTAATTTTTAGTTGGTTTATGTGTAGGTGGCACTTGGCAGTCAATGATGTTGTAACAGTTGCTGATATGAAGTTGTGCCAGCCAATGATGTGTAAGTGATGTTCTGTGTTTTGGGATGGTGGATGGATATAAGGAATTTTAATCTGATGTTCTGTGTTTGTACATATATATGTTTTCAATTGCTTTTCTCTTTTTGGGTTTTGTTTCAAACCAACTGGATCCTTAATGCTATTTGTTGCTTCATTGGTTTGTAATTTGCTAGGTCTTTGTCAACCTCATGTTTGTCCAATGCCGAGTCTAATTCTAGGTAATGTATTCTGTGAAGTTTATGTTGGATTCCATGTCAATAACTAATAGTTGATGCCCCACTTGACACTTTCAAAGGATGGGTACTGTCATATCATGGGCAGCAAAATCTAATGATATTTGATTCCAGTTTCAAAGCATCATTTGGATTTGTACAAAACAAAGTACTTATAGCAGAGTGTTCTAGGATGAGCCAAAGTAACGTTATGTGATGAGTTTGTCATTAAAAGGTTAGGTGTTAACCATTGCCTCTGTTTTTGTGTGATTCTTATGTACTCGCAACGAAAGAGTTTTGTGTTCACATTTTACTCTTAACCTTTTCGCGATTTCGATTTGTGGTTTTTCTTTCATTTAATCTTGCATGCGTAAGGTTGCTTTGTGCCAAGCTCTACTCTATAAACTGTTTTTTCTCTTCTTCTTATAGAAGTGATGAGTCGGTTTGATTTTGCATTCTTTAGGTGCTTTTATGGAAAGGGATGGTTAGCTGTGCTTAGGATGAAAGCGGGAATAAAGACTTTTTAACTTGATTTGATTTGAAGAAAAAGGAACCAAATTGTTTGCTGATGGAAAGTAAAGGACCCCAAGAAGAAGAAGGTTGGTCAGGATAGGTCATTGTGTAACTCGAGGGGATATCATCATGTTGTTGCAACTTTAGTTCGGGTATTGATTAGTTGATGAAATGACCACAAACATGACTCTCCAACTCCTTATTTGACCATAAACTAAGGGGTCGTTTGGAAGTTGTGATTCTTCAAATTGATGTATTGGGTCAATTAGTGTATTATCATTTGATGTATTGAATCAATTGATTTATTAGACAAATACTTTGTTTGGAGGTTTAGATTGTGTTTTTGTTGTAAAGGCATAAAAGTTAATTTTGAGTGATTGTGAACGATCTCAACAAAAAGTAGAGATTGACAATCCCTCAATTTTGAGTGATTGTGGTGGGGCCTCCAAAAAGTGAATGCATGTATTCTAGTTCAATATAACTAAAAAAACGACTTAATCTCCCAAATACATGAATTAGCTCAATACACCATTTGAAATCACAACTTCCAAACGACCCCTAAACTGTCCATCCATTCATCATGACTCTACAACCTAAATCCCCGGGCATTTTTTCTAGTTGATGATTTATTACGAACTTCATTACCTTTTCTTCCCGTTTTCTTGCCCCCCATATTCGCCGATCTCAACTTCTCTATCTAGTCGCTCCCTCTCCCCTCACACAGGCCGACGGCGACGAAGTTACGACGGACGGCCAGGTATCTGAAAACCAGGTAGTGAATAATTGCTCTGCAGCCACTCAACTTTCCCCGCTTCTCCCACCGGGGACTAGCTCTCGCCATTGCCCTTTCCATGCGCGCAATTGAAAATTGGGGGCTTTTCATGGTTTCGACCTGACAACACCGTAATGAATTCATAAACCCTTTAATAGTTTGGAGCTTTTTTCTCCCCTGCACTAGTCACCTTCTTCAATTGCTATATATTGAAATGGGTTGTCCTTATGCTCAAGGGTTTATGTGCGTTAGGGTTTCCTGTACCTGACACTGGCAGGACTCGGTTTCTTGTTCTTGATTATTGTGCAGTCATCAGTATGGCAAAGAAGAAGAAGCTCAGCAGATCGAAGGTTGATAGACTTAGTAAGCTTCCTGCTCATCTGATACAACTAATTCTCACGCCCTTGCCCATTAAAGAAGCAGGCAGAACAAGTATATTGTCAAGAGAATGGAGGCACCATTGGAGAAGTATCACCCGCCTTGTGTTTGATGATGAGTTTTTCGATTCACCGGGTTATAATTCTGATGATGAAATTAGTGCAAATAAGCTAATGTCGAACGTCCAGGAAACTCTGCAGGTTCATGATGGGCCTATCACAGAGTTTGTGCTTTCAAATCCTGAATTAGTAACTACTGTCAAGATTGGCCCCTTGATTTCTCACCTTTCCGGAAAAGGGGTCTCGGATCTTTCCCTTCTGTACCGTAAATACTTTGACTCGCAAGTGTTTGAACAGGAGATCGACTCTTCCCTTTTTCATGCAGTACAACTGGATAGGCTAAGTTTGGAGGGGTGTAAATTCACGGTACCATCTTGGTTTATGGGATTTGCAAGGCTGACATCCCTTCAGTTAGAACACGTAGGTTTGCCGGATGATTTCTTCCACAGTTTCCTTCTGAAGTGTCCGCTGCTTGAAGATTTGAGGGTTTTCTACTTTGAGGGTCCTTATAATCTTGAACTTGTAGCTCCTCCGTGCCTCAAAGTGTTTACCCTGATGGCTTTTGGTTTAGGAAATATTAGCATCAAGTATGCTCCGCTGCTTTCTGTGGTCTCAATCCAAGCAGAGGAAATTGCGTATAAGAGTCTTGCAACAGACATGGTCTCTGCATTTGCTTCTCTCCCTTCACTGGAGCAGTTGTATATCAGCTCCGAGTGCCTGAAAGTAAATTTGTGTTCGTTAAAACCTTTCTCCTCCCATTTGCCCAAAATGTCTGTATTTGTTCTGCTCACATCTTTTATAGTTAATGGCTGCAGATCCTATTCCATACAGACTTCCTACTGCACTTCACTGCTTAAAAGTTCTTGACATCCGCAAGTATGATAAGGATGACAGTTTTCTTAAGCAGGAGGTTCTCCTTTGGCTCATTAGGAGTTCGCCCAACCTGTATAAACTTACAATTCAGGTTCTTATGATCGATACTCTATGAATCCTTCCCTTTGTACCACATACAAATATGTTCGGACTTTGTCTTTTTTTTCCCTCCTCTCTAAGCTAAATTTGTTCATTGGCTAAAAAACTTGCAGATGCAACGTCGAGGGGAACTGCATTTTACGAGGAGGGATTTGAAGCTCTCAGACTATGAACCAGATACCGATCTCGAAGCTAAAGATGGTTGTTGTCAGCGTCTTGAAGAAGTCAACATTATGCTCGGTGGGGGCTCTCAAGTTGAGCTAGACTTGTTGAGGTTCGTGTTGGCCAATGGCCCGCTGCTGAGAAGGATTGTCATTGAGCCTGTGAAGGAAATGAGTTGGGAAGGATGTCTCGAGTTCTTAGAGGAGATTAGACAGTATGAGTGTGCTTCAAAAAAAGCCGAGATCATATATGTGAATGAGTCTAATCGGATAGTCTTTAGGACGAGATTGGCAAATCTTTAGCTTATATAATCCATACGCCTTGGATGACTGGCAAGCCATGCTTTCGCTTTGCAGTTTGTGTTGACGAGTTGGAATTTTTTCAGTACTTTGAATGAACGGTGTAAGGACTCTATCCTATCCTAGTTAATATTCTGGTCAGTGGTCACAAATTCCTACATAGCTCTACTCTTGTACATGAGAAAGATGAAACTATTCTGTTGGGCGATACCTTCATTTCCTATTGAAGGTTTATATTCCAAATAGAAACCTTTACTTTCTATCAATTAACAGCACCCCTCGAACTTCCAATATTCTTAACTAGCACACCAAATGAGTGGAGTCGAGCCGAGTTTTACCCGAGTTTTACCCCAATTTGAGCTCGATCTGTTTATTAACAAAGCCGAGTCGAGTTCGAGCTAATTTGCTAACTTAAATCTTGACTCGTATTCGATATATTCATTTTGTATGTCATGTATGATACATGTGTTTAATGTCAAGATGAAAAAAATAGTAATAATTAAGTGTTTAATATTAACTAATTTCATGTTATACTTTGGGTGTCAAATTATTTAGTTAATACATTTTGACTAATCAAAATTATGTTATTTCATAGTATCGAAGCAAACTATGATATGTAATTTCTTTTAAAAATTAAATAAGACATATTTGCTCACATAATCTACGTGTTAAACTTTAGGGTGTGCCTACGGTGACATGCATGTCACGGTGACTTGCGCTTTCCGGTCGACTGTTAGAAACAAAGTTTCTAACGGGATTTGGGATTGGGTGATATTTGGGAATTTAGGGATTGAGAAGATAGAATTAGGGATTTGGGAAAGAATTGGGGAAGAATTGGGGAAGAACAGAAGAGAATCGGCCTAGGCCTTTAGAGGGATTGAGATCGAGAATTGGGAAAATAGGGAGATTAGGGTTTAGGAGATTATTTGATAATTCTTTCTTGACTGATCGTAACGTAGACTCAGAGTACATATTTATAACGAAAGATGTGAAACCCTAATACTAAACCTAATTCTACTAAAAGACTACTAACCATAATAAGACTTACCCTAATAATAGTTAAAATAATAAATATAGAAACCTAGATAATTCGGTTTCTAACATCTCCTCCCCTTGAAACCAACCTTGCCCTCAAGGTTGACCAACTCGACCACTTCTTCATGCCGTCGATGCAATCCGCAACCAACCTGCAGCTCGGCCCACTTTTCTCTTAAATTCGACCTATACGGCTGGTCAGACTACAATCCGATCTTCAAGTTTGTCTGCGGCCCAATCTCTTGGTTGGCCTGGGCCATGGTAAGCCCATTTTCTTCTTTTTATTCTCCAGGTCGTGACCAAGACATGCTTGGCATTTCCCTGCCCATTTGTTCACGTCCTTTGGCCCATTACAACCTGCAGACACCCTCTCTTGGCCCACTCCCCACAGCTGGAGGTAGCACCAGAACAGAGCACCGCCGCCTCTCTCCTCCGGCGATATCTTCTGCTCGCCCCTATGGGTGGGCGACAATTGTGGTTCCACTTGTGCTTTTCGCGTTCCCGAAGGCACAATCCGGTCCCAAGCCGTCGCCTCCACCCTGCATTTTTGGCCGATGTCGAGATCCGTCGATCGCATGACCGGAACCTCCATAAAAGGCCCTTTCCCCATCTTCTCCTCTAGGTTCAGCTGGCCTTCTCCGCCACTTCCTCTCCCGGCGGCCACAGGCAGAGCACATTCCACCCGCGGTGTGGACACCGCCGCCTCATTCCTTCGCTCCGGCCTTGTCCGTTCCGCCTTCTTCTTCTCTGGTAGCACACTTTTCCACACTCTGCGATTGCTTCCGATTCTGAGCTCTGACTTCCTCTTCTTCTTCTTCTTCTTCTTCTTCTTCTTCTTCTTCTTCTTCTTCTCCGATAGCGCCTCGATCATCAGGCGGTATGGAAGACAGTCCGCATCCGACCTTGTCTTCAAGGTCGTCTCCTCGCCGATCGACGACACCACGGAAACGGACTCCCATCGCCGCGTCCGGCGCGCGAGTTGATGCTCCGCCGTGTCCAGATCACGACGCGCCGTCATCACCCTTTCGTGTCGTCGGTTGCCGTCGAGCTGGAGCTCGGCTCCCATGGTGCTCGATTCTTGTGGGGTGGAATCGGGGGTCATAGCAGACCCTTCCTCTTCCTCCTCCTCCTTCGGAGGCAGTTCGCCCGTCGCGAAAACTAAGTTTTGCGGCTGCTCATCCTTGATCTCAGCATCTGGATCTCCGTCTTCGACAGTAGCTGGTGGTGGCGGTGACACTGCAATGGTGGTGGTTGGCGGCTTGATTCGCCGTGGCGAGTTTAGGAGTCGTTTAGACTTCCCCGCCCACAGCTGCCACTCCTCCTCCCTCTTCTCGGCCTTTTGTATGATTTTATCCAAGACTTCCATTGCTTGCTCGCAATAGACCTTCAGGTTGTAGAGCTTGTCCCTGGTTGAGAGATTTTCGACCATGGCTCTGATACCAGATGTTAGAAACAAAGTTTCTAACGGGATTTGGGATTGGGTGATATTTGGGAATTTAGGGATTGAGAAGATAGAATTAGGGATTTGGGAAAGAATTGGGGAAGAATTGGGGAAGAACAGAAGAGAATCGGCCTAGGCCTTTAGAGGGATTGAGATCGAGAATTGGGAAAATAGGGAGATTAGGGTTTAGGAGATTATTTGATAATTCTTTCTTGACTGATCGTAACGTAGACTCAGAGTACATATTTATAACGAAAGATGTGAAACCCTAATACTAAACCTAATTCTACTAAAAGACTACTAACCATAATAAGACTTACCCTAATAATAGTTAAAATAATAAATATAGAAACCTAGATAATTCGGTTTCTAACATCGACCTCAGTTAGGATTAGGTCGACCTCACATAGAATTCGGTCGACCTCATATAGGATCCGGTCGACCTCATTTAGGATTCGGTCGACCTCATATAGGATCCGGTCGACCTAATATGTTGTTTCAGTGTAAAAAATGTTCATGGTGCCAACTTTGGATATTCATATCATACAATTGGCTAGATGGAAATTGAAGACTAATGACTTGTTTTGAAGCTGGAGTGTCCCTCTACATATTGAAGTGATTGAGAGCTCGATAGGAAGTCCAGAAGACCATTTTTGAACCTCATCAAAAGGCTATGCCAAAACTGGGAAACTGCCTAGAAATGGCTAAGTCTGGAAACGTGTTTATGAAGCCTATTTTTGAGCTCAATTCGAGAAGCATGAATGCGAGTCGAGTCCAGGAGCCTCTACCACGTTAAATTAGGTATGTTTTTATACAAATTCAAGGAATTGGATGAAAGATTGGATATCTTTAAGCCTTCAAACAAAATGGTCGAAGTTGCTACGAAGGCTGTTTTTTGGCAGACTTGGAGCACAACCAAGCTGCCAGAAAAACAGGCTTCGTAGCAACTTCGAGCCTTTTGTTTGAAGCCTTAAAGATATTCAATCTTTCATTCAATGCCTTGCCTTTGTATAAAAAAATACGTAATTTAACGTGGTAAAGGCCCCTGGACTTGACTCGCATCCATGCTTGTCAAATTGAGCTTCAAAGTAGGCTTGACAAACACGTTGCCAGACTTAGCCATTTTCATGCAGTTTCCCAGTTTTGGCATAGCCTTTTGGTCAGGTTCAAAAATGGTCTTTTGGACTTTCTATTGAGCTCCCAAGTACTTTAATGTCTAGAGGGACACTTCAGCTTCAAAACAAGCCTTTAATCTCCAATTTCCATCTAGCCAATTGTAAGATATGAATCTCCAAAGTAGGCACCATGAAACTGTTTGTACACTGAAACAACTGATTAGGTCGACCTGATCCTATATGAGGTCGACCGAAAAGTGCATGTCACCGTGACACGCATGTCACCGTAGCAAAGTCCTAAACTTTATATAGGGTAAGATATATAATTGGGTAAATACAACATATAAGCCATAACTATTAAGAAACGAAAAATTATAGTCATAACTATCAAAATACAAATTATTAGTCAAATGTTAACTCTCCGTTAATAATTCTGTTAGATGATTGTGAGCCGGCAAAAGTTATGCTGAGGTATAAGAAATTTTATTACGTGGCAGTCAACAAAAGATCTCACATCAGCCAGTTAACCTAAACAACATATTGCTTAATTAATTATTTATTTATTTAAAATAATAAAAAATTCCCTCCCCAATAATCTTCCTCCGCCAGCCTCTATAGTTCCCTTCTCTTCTCCATGGAACCGCCTCCGGCCGTCGCTCCCCCCTCATCGACAAGCCAAAAGTTTTTTGAATTCTCCGCTATCTTATTTCTATTTTGCATATCTTGATTCACTTTCTATATGAGAAAAGGGAACCCAAAAATTTCATAAGACTTGAAGTGAACTCATAAGGGTAAAAAGTGGCAAGCAGCATCAGTTTCTCCTTGTCAAAAGCAGCAAATGAATTCTACGGACTTAAGCAAGTCATAGACAACAACAGCTGACAATTGACCTCGTCAAACCGATTATTAATTTCTTGCAACTGCATATCTATGACGGTGTAAAATAGTAGCCGAAAATATGGGTGGTCGGTGGAGGTTCAGCGAGCTTGGAGCCGGAGATGGAGAGCTTGGAGGCTGGACTCGCAGGTCGCAACCGTTGGAGGGTGGAAAGCTTGGAGGTTGGCGAGTGAGGAAAACGAAATTGAAAGTGGGGATGCCTTGCTGGGATGGACAATAGTGTTTTGCGTTTTGCTATTAGGATAGATAATTAACATTGGTATAATTAAAGTTGTGTGTTCAATAAATCAAATACCTCTTTTAGCCGAGATGGTGAGATTGTTAGCCGTGAAACACGGGGTCAGGGGTTCGTTTCCTAGTTCTCACTATATGTACTACAAAAAAAAAAGGGGGTCGCATGCACCCCCCTCACTAACACACAGCTCCGCCACTGGGTATATATGTACATTCTAAAATCTTAATTTTCTACTTATAGGCATATATTTTTAGAATATGTCTATTACATGTAGTTGATGGCAAATCAATGAGGTAGGACGGGACGAGTACTTCAATGCCTATATTCGTCCATTACCAAAATTGCGAGTAAGGTCGGGTAATATCCGCACTAGTAGTGGTTATGGTATGTCGACCCATTATCTTTATATATTTTGAGGAAAAAATTTATTTTCAACATAAAAACAAAGGAAAAATAGTTCATAAATGAAAAAGTAGATATAATATGCAAATTA